TGGAAGAAAGCAGTGACAGGAAGCGAGACAAAGAAAAGGACACTCGGAAAAGAAGTAAATAGAAAGTCCAAAAGACAAAGAGGAATATTTTTAAAAGCAAACAAAAAAAAAGTAAGTGGAAAACAAGGAGGAAGACGAAAGAGAGAAGAAGTAATGGATGAAACTCTGAGGACAAGACACCACCGTCCCTACTTTCCCAGTTCTGTTCTCAGTTCCGTTAGAAGGAGCGGTGCCCAGACGGGGCAGGGCAGGCGTGAGCAAAGGGGCTCTCTGAGCCGCCAGTGTCCTTCCCCTCCTCACGAGTCTCCAGCCTGACGCCCGTCAGGGACACCCAGGGCACAGACGCAGAGGCCTCTGTCGAAAGAGGCTCCAGGAGCTGAGAGGTTCCAGCTGGGCTGGGGACGCACACAGCCCACGCTGCCCTCCGCTGCCAGGTCACATCTCAGGTGCTCCCAGCCCCGCTCCCCTTCTGAGCAGCTCTGGTGTCTTGTCGCCCAAGGGACCCCCATTCTCCCCTCTGCATGTATATTCTACCCTGCACTGGACACGCTCAAGGGAATTCGGACTACTTTCTGGCAGCCTATGGGGCTCAACTCTACTCTGAGGCATTTCACAGAACTCAGGGAACAAAGGCCCGTAACCCCCCGCCTGACCTGGCCTCACGGAACCCCATCCCGCTTCTCTGTCATCTGGTGCTGCCCCCTTCCCTCAGGGGCTGGAAGAGGGTCTGGCCCGCCACTGCCTCCCTCCCTGGACCACTCCCGTCTTCTCGAGCTTCCAAATCACCCGGAAGAGTCAGAGCAAGCGCTTGGAGAACACAACTCAAGCACAGTTCCGTCATTTGTGAGGGGCCTGGGCCTGGACCCAGCGGCCCCGCATGCCGAGTGCAGGCCTCGCCCGCCCCTCGCCCGAGCGTGAAGGCCTGAACCCAAATGCCTGTCCTGTCAGCTAAAACGGGCAGGACCCATCTCGTTTCTCAATGCAAACTCCTGCAGCGAACAGGGCAGGGGCGGCTCAAGTCAGAGAAAGAGGAGACAGGCGGACGGAAGTGGGGGCAGGCAGTGCGAGGCCAGGCAGGCGGGAAGGGGATGAGGCACAGAGAGCTGAGGCCTCAGCCCGGCCTCTGCCTTGCAACCCGGGGCCCACGTGACTCCTTCCCATGCTGAACCTACTGTCTGCCATGCTCGCTCCCCAAAACCTGAGATTTTCCCTTAAAACGGAGACTGGGGACGGGGGGATCTGTCTGGCCGGCCAGCCTGGCTCAGGGGGTCATGAAGGGCAGCCCAAGTCACTCCGGCTCCTTGGAGCTGCCTTTGAGGCAGAAATACAGAGCATCTTGGAGGACTCCTGCTCTGTCTGTGGAAAGGTGGGCAAAACGCTTAAAATACAATAAAAGCAAGGCCCGGGCCCCAAAGGGGTCTCACTCCCTGTTTCTCTGGACTGTCTGTGGGGTGCCTGTGTGCAGGATTTCTGCAGAAGATAGTCCATTTTGTTAAGCCTTTGAATATTCAAATTGAAAGTATCGCGCAATCATTGATTGTCAAATCATGGGTTTCTAGAGGTTTTAAATACTTGGCATGAGGGGGAAAAAACTCAAACCTATACCCGAAGGTATAAAACATTAATTCTGTTTGTCTCCTGCTCCAGGAACCTGGGTGCAGCTGGATGCTTTGTGAAACTTTTAAAATGTTGCATCTCTGTCTCTCTCCTTGCACAGGAGCCCTCCTAGGCGCTGAATTCCTGCAGCCACAGCACCCAGCACCGACCCAGCTCCGGCTGACCACGATGTCGGGTAACTCGGCCGCTTCTCCTGGGGTAGGGTCACGCGAGGCAGGGGCGTCTCGATCCGGGTGGATTTCCACAGCGTTTCCTGCATAGAACAGAGAGGCACAAAGTCAGGGCGTGCAAGTATGAGCCCGGGATCCGGAGAGGGCGCGGGCCACGCTGCGGCCGCTCCCCTCGGCGCCTGCTCCCGAGGGCAGAGAGGCCCAGAGGCCGGGCTGGCCGCTGTGGACGTCCGCGTGTCCCCCGACCCCCACCCGCCCTTCCGCTTCGCCGCGGCCGTGACCCCGGGGCTTCGCGGCGCGGACTCTGCGTGCCCAGAAGCGGCGGCGGGGGGAGCTAGAGGCTCGCGGTGAGCCCGGGACGCGAGCACGGCGCGCGGGCCGGCCGCACCGGGCAGGGCGGAGGCGGCCCCCTCGGCGCCCCCCGAGCGGCCCCCGCCGCCCACGGGGCTGCGAGCCGCGCGGGGCCGCCGGGTGCGGGAGACCGGACCGCGCAGAGGGCGCGGCGCCCGGGCCTCGCGCAGAGGGCGCGGGACCCCCGGGGTCTGGGCGGCCAACGGCGCCGCCTGCTCTCCGGGGGAGACCCCTCGCTCCCGGGGCGTGCGCGGGGGCTCCCCGCGGTCCGGCTGCGGTCTCCGCAGCGGCCAGGCGCGGCGCTGGCGGCACTGTGGCTCGGCGCCCGGGCCGCGCAGGCGGCCGCCCGGAGCCCGGAGCCGCGCGGCCCGGCCCCTCCCCGGCGCGCGCTCCAGGGCCGAGGTCGGGGCCGGAGTCGCGGGCGCTCCCGCGGCCACCCCGGAGCACGAAAGCCCGCCGGCTCGGCCCGGCCCCGCGAGGTCCCACCTACTCACTGCGGCTCCGCGGGGCCGGCCCGGGACGCCCGGGCTCCCCCCTCGCCGGCCCAGAGCGCGGCCCCTTCTGCGGGGCGGACCCCCGGCGGGCCGCGCCACCCCCGGGAGCCCCGCTCTGCGCGGCCGGAGGCTCCGTGCGCCGCCGGGAGACGCCAGCTCCCGAAAGGGAGGGGGTGGGGAGCGGCGGGAGGAAGGGAGAGCCGGAGCGGGGGCCGAAGGAGGGAGGAGGAAAGGATGGAGCGCGGGAAAGGCGGAGAAAGAGGGGCGAGGGAGCCCGGGCCGAAGAAAAAGGGGGAGGGGGTAGTGCTTCGGGGAGCAGCCGGAGGACCTCGCTCTCCACCCTCACCTGCCCGCCGCCTCTCCCGGGCTGGCTTCCAGACCAAGGGCACGCAGGGGTCGGGGCCTCCCCAGAAGCCGCGCTTGGCCTGATGCATAAGTCAGGGACTCAGGGTTTACGCACAGCCTCCCTGTGGAGGGGGCTCGGTCCACTGCTCTGCGCCCCCCCCCCAGCCCCTCCCCAAGGCCCGCAGTACCCTCTCCCCGGCGGCAGGCTGGGCCCAGAGCCCAAGGTTCCCCTATTTTAGCCAAGGTGATGGACTAGACTGCTGTCCGCATTCCTGAGCAGAAGCACCTGTGTGCCATTGGCCTAGGGATGGGGCCCAGCCTGGCTGGGTGGCCGCGCAGCTTCCCACGGGCTCCGTTCCCACTCGGCCGAAACCTGCGCAGCTCCTCCTCATCTCTCAGGTCGGACACTTTTGGGGCCCCTTCCCACCTGTCTTGCAGCATTCTCTTTGCCTTCTTGGAACCTAGAAACCCGGTCTCCGGTGTCATAGTCTATAAGAGACCCTCCACACCCCCGTCTGACACCCAAGCCTCACATTTGACCACTGACTCTGTCGCCTTTCCCCAGAAAAACCGAAGGTGTATCAAGGTGTCCGGGTGAAGATAACGGTGAAGGAGTTGCTGCAGCAGAGAAGGGCGCACCAGGCAGCCTCCGGGGGAACCGTAAGCATCACCCCTCACCTACACCCCGCCTGTGTTCCACCTCACATAACCCTATGTTTGGAAAGATGTGGGAGACCACGCTAAGCTCAGCCACCATCCCCAGAGCTGGCCTTCCAAACTGCCTTTATAACTTCTGTGCCCAGCTCCTTCTCAGCTCAGCCCAGGAAGCCACAACATAGAGCTGGGGCGTACCGGGGGGCTCGGGATTTGGGGGAGCCCATCCCTCACTGATCATAGTTGAATATAAAGGGCTTGTTGACCTGGTGTAGGGACAGGAGCAGAGAGCCCTTCAAGGAGAGGATCTCTGTGGACATGCCCCCTGCTTCTCATTCATATGAAACCGAGCTTCTGAGGTCATTTATCTGCAAACCACCAGGCACAGAAAGCTCCCAGCACAAACGGGGCCATGTATCTACAGAAGAGACAGCTTGGGATATAGAAGCACCTCCTCAATATGCAGTAAAGCCGGATGCAGTCCCAGGTTAGCATGGGGTGATATGAGGCAGGTATAAGGGTACCCAGTCACTTCACATACTCTCCAAAGCAGATAGTATTGCTAAGAGTGTTCAGGGCATCAGCAGAACCAGATAAACTGCGTGGGGTAGCCTCCATTCATTGCTGAAAGCCCTTTGTCAACGCTTGTGCGTTGCTTTGGGTGTGGATGTGGGATATGACAGATGGGCCCATACTGCCAGTGTTAGGATTGGTCCTGTCTCCAGCTTTTCGACGTCCTCCGCCCCCCCCCCCCCCCCCCCCCCCCCCCCATGCTTTCTGAGCCTGGTGCTCTTTGCCATGCAACGCACGACTTCCTGAAATGGCCCTTTGTGGGAAGAGGTACGGCGGGCTGGGTTCAGGTCTCAGCTCCTCCATGGTGCGAGTGTATCCTTGAGCATATCTCTAAGCTGGAGATAATAGGATTTTATGAGGGCTAAATGAGTTATATAGCATATAATAAAGCACTTACAAGAGTACTTTTCATTTAGCAAGTGCTTGATAAATGTTAACTGTTATTATTATTATTTGCAAAAAGCAGCTACAATAAAATTACAACCAAGGATTGAAAGCCAGCTATCCAGTAATGTCCATTCACTCCCTTTGCTCAGAGTTTAGAGTTCAAGTGTGGGCTTGCTGTGATACAGCCTGCCTGCCAAAATTTACATTTACTGGAGAAGTTAGTACCACCATGTATGGGATTTTAGCTAACGCAGCAAAGCTTCTTTCCATTCACGGAGGGCTTTTACAGAGGCTTAGGAAAAAAAGCACTTTTGCACACTGATTATTTCATTTAGTTCTTATAACAACCAGGCAGGGTAAGTCATCAGGATCTACATGCCTCTGTTACAGCTAACATCCAAGTCTTACAGTTACTACGTACGGGCAGAGCTAAAAACAGAATCAGTGTCTTCTTACTCTTCGTATAGAAAACAAAAAAAACCTTCCCACATACTGACTCCCTAACTTCATCCTTCTGCACATCCAGCTGTGCTCAGCACAGTCTGGTAGCCTCACCTCTCGATTCCTTCAGTTCAGAGACGGTTATAAAATTAATAAAAGCAGGAACAAGGGAACTGAGGAATGCTTCTGGTGCAAAAGAGAAAGAAAATCATCAGGATGTTCACAACAAAATATAATCTTTCATTGAGGAGTTTGGGACATGGTAGAATTCTGCTTCGATGCCCTTGGAGAAACCCCGCCTCGCATGGTGCTTTTAACGCCGCCGGCCTTTTACAGGCGGGTTTGGCTGCCGTTCGCTGATCGCGGGAATGAAAGCAAAGGTAAAACATTTCACTTGTGTACCTGACCAGTATCAGTTTCCTGGAGCTGTTTGATTTGTCTAAGCTTTTCTGAATCACCACCACCACCCCCGAGAGATAATAAAACAGTACTTCTGAGGCACTGCCTTGCAGGTACATGCATAGCAAAGCCTGCTCTCCTTTGCTTCCTGGAAGATTACACCCACCTAGGCCCTCACAGGCACAGAGAAGCAGCACAGCAGTGATTTAATTATGAGAGCTGGGTGTGAGAGCCCTCGCTGGGGACCGGCAGAAGGATCTGGGATTCTCGGAAAGCTGTGAGGGTGTACTCAGCAGCAAGGGGGGACAGTGTATGCCTGCTTCTGGGTGTAGACCCTTTAGTTTAGCAGAGACGATCTCCAAGTTGTTCAATGATCAGAGGAAGCCTCTGAGAAGCTTTGAGCCAAGGACAAAGTTAATTTTATCAAACACACAAAGCAGGAAGAAATTTATCTTAATTTGTTATGAAGTCAGAGTAGTATCCACAATCTGACATTTAAACAAGCAATCGTGACTGGAAGTTACAGATTGAGGCAAATGTCAGGTCACAAACAGGGAGCTAGGAGAAATGTGTGCATGCCAGATTTCTAAGCTGGATTAAAAAAAAAACTTCTTTCAGCCAGATCAGTTTACCAACAACCCTAAACACACACACACACACACACACACACACACATCTTTTACCTTTAGGAGAAAGGGAAACTTGAGTTTGTATTTATCAAAGATATAATTTACCCTTTCACAACCATTGACTTTTTTTTAAACAGCCTTGATGTGTTTTCATAAATTGTAGATTGTGGTTTTTTGTGCCGTTTGAAATCGAAGAGAACGGTGCCTGTCTTTGTATTCCTGGAGCAAAGTAGAAAGGGAACCCATGACTAGAAAGATAACATCGAGCAGGAGATTGTAAACATACCTGAGGGAGATATTGTGGGCAGGCAGACAAACAGAACGTTCCCATTCCCGGGGAGGAAAGGGGTTAAGGAGAGCTCTACAATGAAGCAGATTTTTTAAAACCCACTCCTTCCAAGTCTTTCAGCCCAAGCTGCAGTCAAATATTTGCATAAAGAGCTGGTGAAGGAGTCCAGCTTCCTGGTTCATGACATTACTGCATGGATCGTTTTCAAAATTAACACCACCTCCTGTTTAAGTAGTGGCCAAGTGTGCGTTCTCTGGGTGGCGTGGTGCATGGGAGTACGTATACCCTGTAATCTGAGAGAGAGGTGTGGTGAGCTCGCCTTCCCAACGCAGAATCACAGAGCAGTGCTGGTCCCTTTAAACTTTAAAGCCACCATCCGAAGCCTTAAAAAAAAAAAAAAAAAAAGGAAAAGAAAATCCTAAATTACTCAATACAATGATCCCTTCAAGTATTTAGATATAGTCGTGAAAAAAGCAGTCCTTATAGAAAATAGTACAAAACATACAGAGTTTAAAAATACTTAGTGACCATGACCTAGAGGGTAGATAGGCATCAGCTCACTGACTACAGATTTAAGAAAATTTTTTCTATTTTACTATTTCATAGCTAGTGAGCACATGGGAATATTTTTAGCTAACCCAGGATGAGCAAAGTTAGGAATTGTGTCCTTTTGTGAAAACAAACTCCTAAGGCTATGCAGCCAGAGAGTATATGAGAATTTTGAAGAAACTGAAGAAACTGAAGAAGTCATAGTTGGGACTAAATAAATTTAGCTCTTATTCATTTTAAATTAAATAGTTTAATAGAAAGGCTCTTTGCTGAGTATTCTCAAACTATTCCATTTCTCTGTAATACAAGAATCATTTCCATCATTTTTACTGAAATTAATAACCTTTAAAATTTAAGTGGGAGGATCTGATAGTTTAAAAGAAAACAAGCAAACATAAAAACTGAGTCTAAATAAAATATAACATTGGTCATATGTAACGACAACCATGTCTTTTAGAAAAAAATATCTGGCTTACCTTGGAGGAGAAGGCAACACAGTTCATGTGACAGTGTCTTAGGTCTCCCCTCTCAGCACTGGGATTTCACCCTGCTCTGTGGTCGCATTCTTGCTTTGGCAGGTGTCCGGAGGCAGCAGCGTCCGCCTTCCAGACCAGGTCCCACCACCTTCTGCAGGTCAGTATAGCCAGGATTACCGTTCCCTCAAAACCCCTTCCCAATGTCCATCTCGAAAGTCTTTCCAGTGCAGGATTCGGGGGTTAAGAGAGGCACCACCACTTCATTGCAATCCAACCAATCAGAAGGTGAAAAAGGCACCGTGTCTCCAGATGCAAGCCCAGCAAGGAAACAAGGGCACGGTTTTGTCCTCATTTCTGAAACGTCTGTTCTCTGCTTGCTGCTCTAACCCAAGAGTGCCTCCTCCACCTTTATTCCGGCTCCTTCAATCCCCAAGTAACCAAACTTGACTAGTAGATCAGAATTGTTTTCAGAAACGTATCCTTTTCACTGTACTGTTAAATGGAATGCAGGACCCCCTCAGGTTCCAGAATAATGCCTTTGCTGTTGCTCATTTAGTGTCTAGCCAATAGGGGCTTCTCTTCCCTTGTTTCCTCTCTTCTAGAGAGCAGTTCAGACAATTGCAAGTTTTCTCAGCCCAGTTCGAATAACTGCATTACCTATGCCATCCAACAGCTAGCTCACGGCTGAAGGTGCCGCTTTAGCTTAACCGAAGGAACCTGAGTCTTCAAAAACTCCAATGCTCTGTTGTCCCCTGATGAACACACTCTAAACCTATCTTCGTAGAGCATTGACAGATAGCAATCAGAAGTCAAGCCTATTAATAATAAAACGGAAGAGGAACCCCGTTCTCAGAATTATTCTTGCTTGGTAGCTGACAACTTATTTTAATTCTGTTATCCTGTTAACATGTTTACCAAGAAAACATTTTTGCTTTTTATAATTCATAACAAGTACTATGAATTCACTTTACATTCTTGGTATCCATTTGTATTATTTGCACGGCTATTTGTATCACTCCTCAAAATTTAAGTTACTGAGTAAGTGTGAAAGTTTGGGAATGCAGCAATCCTAAATCAAGAGAATTGTTTCCCATGGCATCAGAAGTTTCCTTAAAGCCTCCCACAATTCAGTACGTTACTTCTGACAGGTGAGGTTTACTTGAACTGCAAATGGGATGTTGATGCCTTATAGTCCAAGAAAGTAGAGCCTTGAGCCATTATTTGCCTGTGACAGTTGGACACGGATTGGGTTGTCCTTCTTTTATTTTGTGTCCTGGCCACATTTACAGCCTCTTTCCACATAATTAACCAGATTTATTCCACTGGGACTTGAATTCACTAAGGCAATTTAAAAAATCCAAACTGCCTGCCTGTTTACTTTTCTAGAACTTCTTAAGCCCCCTGGCTCCCCCTGCCTGACCAGACATGATAAATATTCAGAATATAGGAGAGAATTCCATTCAAAGTTATAAGGGCAGTTTTTAAACCATCACAACAAAAATCTGTCTTTTTCCTTTCTCTTCTAGGGCTGTATTTTGAGCCTGAACCAGTTTCTTCCATGCCCAGTTATTTTCAACCCCCAGAATTTTCCAGCTGTGTTTCTTGTGAAGAAAACACAAGCTGCCTTGACCAGATCTTTGATTCCTACCTTCAGACAGAGACACACCTGGACCCTTCGCTCAATTCCACGCAAAGTACTCCACACTATTTCCCTGACAGCTTCCAAGCCGCCCCTTTCTGCGTTAGCCAGAGCCTGGTAATTTATCTCTGTTCTTTACGAAACCTGACTGTTGCTTACTCTGGGGTGGGAATGCTTTGTAAGAGAGTTTGCATCACCTCGTGAGAAATCACACAAACACTGTCAACAAGGAAATCATCCAGGAAACAAGCCGAGAACCAGTTAAAACTCAGTGGGGGTCAAAATAGCCACACGTTGCAGGGGGCAAACCTTCGGATACACATGGAATCATGAGTTCCCAAGTCGGCTCCACCCAAGTAAGGGTGGGTGGCAATAAAAAGAGGTATCCTGACAATGTGCATTTAATGTTTTAAAACTGTAGTTAAGACATCTGTTCATTGGAAAGCATTGATTTAAGCAGCGGTCATTGGATTTTTTATTTAGAGCTCTTGAAAATGGAATTAAGGCTCCATCTACACAGTACAAAACTGGCATTCATTCTGATAATGGGTTTTTATTTCATTTTCGACACTGAATCGGCTCTCCTAAGTGCCAGTTTTGGTCTGGTAAAGGTATAAGAACTTATTTGAGTCTAAGATGGCTAGTGAAAAAGAAGCCCTAATAACTTCAAAGAATTTGGATTAGTCTATTCTTTGTGAACCTCAAATGTTGGAAAATATGGTACCATTTATAATGGTTTCCATTAGGAGATACCAATTGTCTGAGATGTCTTTTAGATACACATATAATTTTTTTAAACCACAAAAAGTAAGGGTTTTTTTTAATGCAAATACTTTTTTTTTCTTTTGGTTTGTCAAAAGTCTGTGTAAGTAGCAGACTAAATTTTCAGGGTCTAGGAAATTAACTCCACGGAATATGCACACAGGACCCAAGTCATTCAGTTCCCTTCCCCTTTCAAAGAAGGCTTTCTCTGTAATTACTGTAGACCTGCTTACGAGAAAGCGAAGGTATCTTTCTCCTCTGGGGACAAGACCTTAGTGACTATGAGTCATGTCTTGGAGTCTCCCAGACACTGGCTCGTCGAAGATCTCACTTCTACCTGTGCATGCTCACTTGGCTGTCCACAGTCAAGGGTGTGGAGGAACATCCCAGGTGCCACCTGCAGCAAGATTTGATGTGCAGGTGACTTGACGCACAATGGGATTTTGTGGTTTAAGAACAAAGCATCCTCTAAAGTATGGTTAATAACAAAAGAGAGCAGTGGAGCAAGGCAATTTATTGTTGGGGAAGAAATAGGCAAACACAGAATAAGGTGTCGTGAACTCACACAGTCTGCAAATTAAATTACTTCTGCAGACTTGGGTTGGGTTGGGTGTTTTGTTGTGTTGTATTTTTTTTCCCCTAATGTTCTTACCCTGAGTTAATAAATCCACTCCATTCAGCTCTTTTAATCCCGTCTAAACTATCAAGCTCTTTGTTCCTTGGTTTTGTCTAGACCCCAGGATCGCCTTCCGATTCCTCCACTGTCTCCGGTTCCTTTGACTACAGTTACTCGCCGGCTCAGCTACCGTCATATGCTCCGGAGAATTACAGTTCTCCCCCCTCTCTGGACACCAGGAACTGTGGCTACCCCTCAGAGGACTCCTCCTACACCCACGTGCCCTCATACGCCCCCTACGACTGCTTCTCCTCGGCCGGCACCTCCGTCTGCTACTGTGCGTCGTGTGAGATGGAACACTTGGATACCATCAGGGCGTCGGAGTGCTTTTCCTATCCCAGCTCAGACTATGTGAACTTTGCCCCCTCCGCAGCGGCCGCCAGTGATTTATATAAGAGAGGGACAAACTGTGACATCTGCTACAGTTAATGGCAGTTATAGTAATTCGGAACATGGCATGCCTATCCCTGTTTTTCGGCCGCCCCAGATGACGACTCAAAATATACAACCTGTTGACAAAATGTCACAAGTCCAGTTTGTATGTCACCATTTTCAAGTTTCCGATGCTCACTGAGGCATTAATTAATACGAAGTCCTCAGACCTGGTCACTGTGTCACTCCTACTCTGTATGCGTACAGTTAACATTTTTGTAGGGAATGTTCAATGGTGTTACTTTTCTATGTAACGAACAAAGTCTACATTTTTTTACTAATAAATTTTGTATTATTAAACATTGGCTTATATATTTTTTAATTTTCCAATAGTAGTTTCCAGTTGGTTTGAATAATAACAATTCTGGTAGATCGCCAGTTAGTCTTCAATAGCTTGATCTTGGAATGCCTAGGTGGCTCAGTCAGTTAAGCGTCGACTTGGGCTCAGGTCATGATCTCACGGTTCATGGGCCCGAGCCCTGCGTCGGGCTCTGTGCTGACAGCCAGCTCAGAGCCTGAAGCCTGGTTCAGATTCTGTGTCTCCCTCTCTCTCTGATCCTCCCCTGCTCACGCTGTCGCTCTCTCTCTCACTCTCTCGCTCTCTCTCTCTCAGAAATAAATAAAACATTTTTTAAAAATTAAAAAAAATAGCTTGATCTCACTTATTCATGAACTTAAAATTATTTATTATTTCATTTTATTTTATTTTAAAGTTCATTTATTTATTTTGAGAGAGAGACAGTGTGAGCAGGGGAGAGGCATAGAGAGAGGGAAACAGAGAGAGAATCCCAAGCAGGCTCCGTGCTGCCAGTGCAGAGCCCCTCACAGGGCTCAAACTTATCAAGCCACAGGATTATGTATGATCTGAGCCAAAACCAAGAGTCAGACGCCTAACCAACTGAGCCACCCGGGTGCCCCTAAAATTATTTTAATATGGCTAGATGCCTTGGCTCCCATAAGGATGGAGGGTAGACACAGATGTGATGGTTGAAAAGGAGAGGCAGCCTCACCTCTAAATGAGATTTTATGTCTTGGAGCAATATCAGAGAAAGACATTGATGAATCATTAGCTTTGCTCATCTAACATTAGTCAGTGAAATGTTAATATGGCCAAAAGACACATCTGACCTACAGCAATATTAACAACCTGTAGATAATTCTTCATCCCCAAGGTGCTGTTTTGTAAACGTTCTGGGCAAATACTTGATCTTTTTGTGCCTGAGGGCCACCATGCTGTTGATGTATCACAGAGCTTGGAGTTTGTTGTTATCCTCTATTTCCAAATTTCTGCATTAAGTCCTTAAATATGCATTATGCCATTTGTTTCTACAGATTGGTTGGTAGGATTGTCCGTGTTGTTTTCAACTGAATGTCAGAGTTGACTTCCTCTGGTTAATCTACCTGAACAAGCCCAATCAGCCTTCAAGGTGAAGACAAGTTACTTAAGCTACCTATGCTAGACTATACTGTTCAATCGTGTTCGCCGAGGGCATTAAATCACAGGACTTAATCCCTGAAATGAAGCCTGGAGGGGTGTTTTCCATGTCCCAAGTTTCTGCACAACGGCACCAATATTGGTAGCATCGGCCCTGGCCACAGCTACCAATTTTGCAAGCCCTTCCTGTGAGCCAGAATTGTCCAAGGGTTTTCTCACACATCATCTCACTTAATCTTCACAACAATACTGATAGCAGCGGAATGAGCAGTCTGAGATTCAGGGAAGTCAAGCACCTACCCAATCTCACCCAGCCAGTAAGTACCGGGCTTGGGTCTGAAGAACACCAAAGCTGTGATTTTCACGCACCCTCTGGTGGTGAAGAGTTTCAGCCGTCATTTGTGAAAGACTGCTGTGAAATCATCCCCAGTTAAACTCGACTTCCTCATACAAACACAGGTGTGTCCCCACACAGCTAGTCAGAGCTCTCCAGAAGGGCTCACTGTCCCCAGATAGGAAGGTGCCAAGCACAAGAGCTGCCAGAGGCCTCCCTCTGGGGACGGAGGGGACGAAGCTGACAAACCCCCACCTCAGTGGGCCTTTTTCTATCAGGAGGCAGATAGGCTTTCAAAATGAGGTGTCTAATTGTCACCTCCCTGGGCACTCCGCTAAGGCTTGGGCAAACATGGCAAGTGGAAACCTGCCCCGTGGGAGCATTGTGCCAGGGAAATAGAACCATCGCTGCCTTTTTTTTTTTTTTAATATTTTTATTTATTTCTAGGAGAGAGAGAGAGACAGTGTGAGCAGGGGAGGGTCAGAAAGAGAGGGAGACACAGAATCTGAAATAGGCTCCAGGCTCTGAGCTGACAGTCAGCACAGAGCCCGACGCGGGGCTCGAACCCACGAACCACGAGATCATCACCTAAGCAAAAGTCGGACGCTTAACCGACTAAGCCACCCAGGCACCCCCATTGCTGCCTTTCTGAGATGCCAATAAAACTAAATTTTTAATCGTTTCAAATTGACTTGACACTGGCCTACTGTCAACAAGCATCTGCTCCGACAGTAAAACCCCTGCGTATGACCCACCCCTCTCCACCCCTGCTGTCCCCAAGGGACAGAGAGCAGAGAACCCAAAGATGGCCCGTGGTGGACACCAAAATATCCTCTTCCTGATGCCATTCCTCTCTCTCTCTCTCTCTCTCTCTCTCTTTTCCATTCTCTGACTCTACCCTCTACCTTCTGAGTCAGTGGTCTCGCTGACAGAGGTTTGCCTGCTCTTCGCTTCTTACTCTTTCTTCATACGTCCCTTCGTGCTTGCCGAAATCTAGTCTAGAAAAAGATTACACATAAAGAATGTGAAACATGGGCTAACAGAGCTGCTATGCATCACAATGAATAACACCCCCCGTAAAGTGGCCTTGAAGATCTTTCCAGAAGTTTGGGCCAACAGGCCACCTGGCACACGAGGAAGTGGGTGAACACTGCCCAGCCGGTCTCTTAAGCAGGACAGCTACACAGAGAACAGCTGGGGAGCCCTGCAGTGGTGGGTGAAACACCTGCCGGCAGCACGGGGAGACCCAGAATGCCCCTCCTCTGCAGGTGCCTGGGAAGCCGCATAAAGTCCAGAAGCCTGTGTCGCAGTGTGAGCACGAGTCAGTCCATCTGGGGTAGGACCCGGGCATCTGCATGTTTTAATGGACTCAAGTGGATTCTGATATAGACAGTTCTCTGTCTACACTTGAAAACACTCACATAGTCGATGTTCAAATTGTCCCCTTCCAGGACCTAGTGGCCTAATAATAGTTTATATGGACTAAGCCCTTCCTCTGACCCAGGGCTGTGGCCATTCATCTCATTTAGCCCTCAGACAACAACACAAGACAGATCTTATCATTGTCTTCAGTTTTTATCAGCAATGGACGTGCCGCTGGGAGAGGTGGGGTAACCTGTCCGAGGTCACACAAGCCGTCGTCAGGATGAGTTCTCCAACCCAGGGGCTCTGAATGTCCAACACCCTGCGCATACTTTCCACGCATTCTACCCGGAGGAAACATCTATCTGGACCTGGGTCCCCTGTATGCACAGCCGCACCCTCTCCTCACGCCACAGGGGCATTGAACAAGATTATCAATGGGAGGGGAGCTGAATGAATAATGTTGTTATTCAGAGCCATTCAATTAATCAAACAAAAAATTAAGCACTTGCTGTGTGCACGGCTGATTGTGTGCCTTCAAAATGCAGTCGACGCATAAGAGGATATGTGATTTCAAAAACTTAAAACTGGGAGAAGGTCAGTGAGGGTAGGCAGGGGCCAATTTTCAAGTTCTTGGGAAATTGAAATCTGGGTCAACCCTCGGAGCCTGAGACGAAGTTGAAGGTGGTAACCGTTTGGAAATGATTACCTCGGGCGATGGCCCAGCGCGGTGACACCCGGGCAGCTGTCCTGAGCTACACGTGGATGTCGGGGGGCAATGTATAGGCAAGGGAGGATGGGGAGGAGGGAGTGAAGGAGGCGCTGCCTTTTGATGGAAAATGGTTTTAAAAATCATTATTCAGTCCAGAATCAAAGCCAATGAAAGTAGTGAACAATATGGGTTAAAATAATTCTGGACTTACCATTATTTCCAAATCCTCAAACCCTAAGTAACCCCAGCACAACGCCTAGCTGTAATTCACTCTTATACTGCCTCCCCCACCCCATACAGAGACAACCTGCCTAAGGGAAATTTGGTCTGTGGGGGATCTCTGGGTCCTGGAGCTGGACTGTAGCTCTGGTCTTCAGAGCCACGTAGATCTGTGCCTTAAAAGGTAGCCTAAGTGACCCCATTTCTTAGGTTCCAGTAGGCCTCTGGGCAAGATGTAGGAGCTGGAAGGATGAAAAAATATGAAAAGACACAGCTCGGAGTTATAATAAAGCATCAAATGCATTGAGGGCAGAAATTGGCATCCACTTAGAAAATAGTTTTTCTTGCTTAAATTAAATGGATAGAGAACATGCTGTTGGTCTTTGGGAAATGCGAAAAAGTGTGTGTGTATGGGTTTGTGTGTGAGAGAGAGAGAGGGAGAGGGAGAGCGAGAGCGAGAGCAAGAGAGAGAGAGAGAGAGAAAGCACCATTCGTTGCCATCTGGATAATCAGGAGGAAAGAGGGGACATCTACCCTTAACCTGCTGTGGCTGAATCTGGGGCACCCCAGCTCCCTCCCAGCTCTGAAGCCACCACTTCCCTCCCCTACTGTGCATTTCTTGGTTGGACAAGCTAGATTTCAAGAGCACTATTATGGTCACTCAAGTCCTAGGATTGCCCTGATGAGGGGAAGTGGTAAATCCTAGGGAGAGACCAATTTGTGGGTAGATGACAGTCACCCTAAGGGGGACTAAGGCAAGAATTTTATTGTGGTTGTGCAAAGAAGGCATTCTCTGAGAAGAGGACCCATCAGAGGGCAGAGGATCGACATTAAAAATCGGGGAGCATCTGGAGCGCCTGGGTGGCTCAGTCAGTCAAGTGTCTGACTTCGGCTCAGGTCATGATCTCAGTTTGTGAATTCAAGACCCACATCAGACTCTGTGCTGACAGCTGGGAACCTGACCCTGCTTCAGATTCTGTATCTCCCTCTCTCTCTGATTCTCCTGCTCACCCTCTCTCTCTCTCTCAAAACTAAATAAATGTGAAGAAGAAGAAGAAGAAGAAGAAGAAGAAGAAGAAGAAGAAGGAGAAGGAGAAGGAGAAGGAGAAGGAGAAGGAGAAGGAGAAGGAGAAGGAGAAGGAGAAGGAGAAGGAGAAGGAGAAGG